GGTGTGCCTGAGTACATCTGGCACCACCCTGCCCCAGACCTTCCTGCCCTGCCCCGCGGAGCTGGTGTACCAGGAGGTGATCCTGCAGCCCGAGAGGATGGTGCTGTGGAACAAGACGGTGACCGCCTGCCAGGTGAGCCGAGCCAGGGGGCCTGGCCTGGCCACCCCTCAGGGAAGAGGCAGAGCAACGTGGTGGATCAGGGCACAGTCATAATCCAGCGTGATCAGTTACCCTCAGGGGACCTGGTCACCTCATTGGACTGCTCGGTGCCTCAGCTTCCCCATCTGTGGAATGGGGATAGTGGTAATAGTGCCTCCTGGAGAGGGTCGGGAAACTGGAAAGAGGGAGTGCTCAGAGCACCTGGCCCAGTACCCATGAATGGGAACGGCTCTTAGTTCGGGGCCTGAGCAGAAAGCAGGCTGGCCTGGAGGTTTCCTGAGGAGCTGGGACCCTTCTCTGGGGTTTTCCTGGGATGGCTGCACCTCACGTCCGCCCTGGCGCCCGCAGATCCTGCAGCGAGTAGAAGACAACACCCTCATCTCCTACGATGTGTCTTCAGGGGCTGCAGGCGGTGTGGTCTCCCCCAGGTGAGTGCCCACCAAGCGCCCTCCTCCCTCGGGCAGGCCGGCTGTCCTTGGACCTTGGTCTTGGCACCCCCTGATCTAACCCTCCCTCCCCTAGGGACTTCGTGAACGTCCGACGCATCGAGCGGCGCAGAGACCGATACCTGTCATCGGGCATCGCCACCACCCACTGTGCCAAGCCCCCAACACATAAATACGTCAGGTGAGCCCCGCCTTGCCTGGGGTCCTCCGAGCTGGCCCCTCCCCTGGTGGCTGTGGGGACAGAACAAGGTCAGTGTGTACAGCTGAGCATTTTGTCCTGCCAAGGCCACCTCCCTGTCCTCTGTCTCGCTGGGCTTTGCCCCTCCAGCCCCTAATCCTGCTTATCTGCTGGAGTCTGCGGAATAGCAGCTAGAGCCTCCACCAGGCTGGAGGGCAGCTCTAGGGAAGACTATGGATGGGGTTAAATAGGGACCAGCCTGGGGAAGGGGGCTGGGAGCCAGGATGTGAGCAGGAGGGTGTGCTTTCGGAGCTTCACCTTCTGGCCCTTTCACCCCCTTCTCCCTGTGCTGTGGCCTTGCCTTTTCCCAGAGCGCTCACTCGGAAGTCCCTCTCAGTGAGAAGAGGCGTCAGTTTTCCTGCTGCTTATTCCAGCAGTTTCCAGCTCCCCTGCTGTCTAATCCTACGCTGCCGGGGGCCTCCTCCCAGATACCCCACTCTTCCCCTTCGGTCCTGGGGTTCCACAGAGAGCAGTGTTCTTTGAGTGTGGGCCTAGGGGCTCTGGTCTCCCCATGACCACAGACTTGCTGGGTGATGGACAAGTTCATTTCCTTTCTGAGTACCAACTTCCTTATCTACGGAGTCAGGGGCAAATTAAATGGAGATGGGATGTGAACCATACAGCGCAGGCCTTGATGCCTCCTGAGAAGGCGCCCCCTCCTGGAGCCCAGCAGCACTGCACTGCTCCCAGAGCTGGGCGAGAGTGAGAAGTGCTCGCACAGCCCACCCCTTCACGGCTAGAACAGACCTAGATTCCCTGGACAAAGTAGACGAGGGCTGGGAAGGTAGTAAGCTCCCTGCCACTGGGGGTGTGTAAACATCAGCAGGCTGTTGTAGGAGGGTTTGAGCAGCACATGGCAGGTGGAGGTGGAGGCTGTATCCTGTGGCCTCTGGGACACCTGTCCTGGGCCCTGCCCAGTCAGGGGAGGGGTTGCTAGACCAGCAACTCCCTTATCTCTTACACCGTAGTCTAAGATGGGCCAAGAATGGGGTAGTGTGATGGGGGTCAAGGGTTCTACCTGGTTCCAAGATCCCCTCCATTGGTGTCTCTTTCCTCAGGGGCGAGAATGGTCCTGGGGGCTTCATCGTGCTCAAGCCGGCCAATAATCCTCGAGTCTGCACCTTCATCTGGATCCTTAATACAGATCTCAAGGTGGGGGTGCTAGGCCTGCGAGGCAGGTTTGGTGGAGTGGAAGGGACTCTGCTGTGTGACCTTGGGCACTCCCTCCCCTACTCTGTTTCCTTTCTCACTCTAAAATTGGGGGCAGGGTCCAAATGGTCTACTCACCCTGCTTGCTGGTGGGCCTGTGCCTCCCCTTTCTTACCTCTGACTCCCAGGCACCAAGGAAGGACATCTGGCCGCCAGCCTAGCCCCTCCCAGGTCTGTTTGTGTGGCTCATGCCAAGATCCGGCACGGCATGTTCTCCCTGCCAGGGGTGGGGAGAGGGCGGCCAGGCTGCATTCCAGAGCTGCACCTGGGTTCTGGCCCAGAGCACCCCTTGCTGGTGCCGGTTGTCAAAGAGGAGCCCCTGCTGAGGGCAAGCCTCCCTGGAACTGTTTCTTGCCTCCCCCAGGGCCGCCTGCCTCGGTACCTCATCCACCAGAGCCTCGCAGCCACCATGTTTGAATTTGCCTTTCACCTGCGGCAGCGCATTGGAGAGCTAGGCGCCCGGGCGTAAGCACACCCCATCACCACCCTGCAGGCCAGGGTCCTGTTGCTACAGCCTCCAGAGCCAGAGAGGGGGCCGGTTGGGCCTCCTGCTGCCCACAGAGGACCCAGCCTCAAACAGTGGGGAGGAAGAAGCTTCCTCCACGGCAGGCAGCACCTTGGCCCCAAGGTGCCGCCCTTGACCACACGTCACTGTGCCTGGCAGCCATGGCTGTGAGCGCGTGGAGGGCTCAAGCATCTGGACTCTGCCACTGAGGCGAGTGGGGTCTGTCCTGCCAACATTTGCATGGCGTCCCTGCCTCCTGGAGGAGGAAATCCGCTGTCCCCTACCTGGCCAGGGGCAGGGTCTGGAATGGAAGCCTCAGACTTTGTTGGGGAGGACCAGGGCCCTGGGTAGGACGGAGGTCAGGGCAGCCTTGTCACCAGCATGAAGGTGCAGGAGCCCCTTCATCTGCCTGCTCTCTCATCACAGTTTTTTAGGATTATTTAAAGGGTCTGGGACCTTTTTCCACTTGTACTTGCAGGAGTGCGGGTGGCAGGTTGGGGTGCTGGGTGCTGGCAGCAAACCTGCCTCTCCCAGTTTCTTTCCAGGTTGCCTCCCTGCCAGGGCCTCCTTGGGGACCTTTGTAATTTGAGCCAATTACAAACATGAACTCCAAAGAAGACAAAGCAGCTCCTCCAGCCTGGCCTCTTGAGGGAAGTCAAGGGCAGCACCTTGGAGCTCGGGGAGGAGCCACTGCTGCAACCAACACATCACACACCCTCTCACCCTCCCTGAGCCGAGGAGGATGGAGTCACTGGGGACCCAGTTCCTGGAACCCCCCTTCTCACAACTTTCCTGAATGGTTCAGCTGGGCAGATGACTGGTCAGAGAAAAGTTCCCCGCCTCCCTACCAGGTCTCCTGTGAGGGAAGGTCAGGTCAAGGTCTCCAGCCCAGGATGGGGAGGGGGAGTAGGGAGAGCCCCGGCAGTACCCACAGCAGGCCTTGGCTGCTCCTGGTGTCCCAAGGTCAGGGCGGGGACAGGGGTGTGGAGGGGATGGGGCTGGAGGTGGGGCCTGGACTTCTGGGTCACTGACTCTGGAATCCCAGCCCCTGAGCTCCACTCACCTGCCCTCCTGTCCCACCACACTGGGGCCACCAGGATACTTGCCCTCTCTGTTTGCCTGCAGGCCTCCAGAGGAGGTAACTTGCTTAGAGCCGTGGGGTGGGGGGGTGCTGTGTTGTGGGGAGAGCCCCTCTCGGTCCTGGTTAGGCGTGTGACCCTGGGCAAATCTACCTCTCTGAACCTCCATCTCCTACTTTGTAAAAGCTGTTGTAAGATTAAAAGGTATCAAGAGTCAGGTGTAGTGCCTCAGTGATCCAAGACATGCAGCAGGTGGGGCCCATGGGCCTCACCACTAGGTTCTCATCGCAGCTCCCAGCCCTGCCTCTCACCCTGGTGCCCTGTACTCTGTCCACTTAGTGTCGCCCTCTTTCCCCGTCCCCAAGGGCCCACCACCCTGTGTGCCAGCTTCTTGCAGCACAAGTTGCTGCTCTTGGTGCTGGGCTGCCCAGGAGCCTTCCTACTGGCCCACTCTCTGGGGATGAGAGCCAGGCCCCTCCCACGTGGCACCTTGGAGCTGGCAGGACCCAGAGTTCTTCTGATAAGGCCATTGTGACCAGAAAGTGGGGGAAATGAGGCCCAGAGAAGGACGGAAGCTGATCCATAGTCACACTGCCTATTTGTGGCTGATATGGGGCTAGAGCCAGATCTGACTGCCACTCATTGGAGCCCCAGGATTCTCATCTCACCCCACTTGAGGTGTTGGTAGAGCTGGGGGCCACCTCCCACACCTGCTCCCTCGGCCCCGACTGGCCCGACTTGGGAGACTACTTCTCTGGCCACGGGCCATGCAAAAAGAAAACATACCTGGCCAAGTTTCGTGTCCAGAATCGCAGGTATAGAATTAGCTTCCAGTACCCCTGCTGGTGTAGTGGCAGTTGGGGACCAGGCCATCAGGTGCAGACGCCTGAGGACTTTCGGCAGCACTGTTCCTGCATTGAGGGGCACTGTCAGGGGATGTGCCCTCGAGCCCAGGCAGAGGAGAGCAGTAGGGATGGGAGTCGACGGGCCTGGTACAGAGCCCAGAGGGGGCCTTGGTTTCTGCTGTTTCCTCTGTTTACAGACAGACCGCTGTCCTCCCTGGGTGAGGAGGAGGGGGTGGGGCAGAGGGCAAGTGCCAAGGTGGCACGAGGCTGGGCATGTGCCTGGCTCCAGATAGTGTCTGAGGAGTGACAGACACCTGGAGGTGTCACTCTGAGGACCCCTGCTTCCACCAGACTATCTTGATCTCTTCAGGAGCTGACCTCTGACCTGGGGGCAGCCAGAGTCCAGGTACCCCAAGCCCCGCCCTGGGCCCAGAGTCCCCCATCAGTGAGTCTTGGCTCTGTTTATAGCATCTGACGCCAGAGGGGCTGAAAATAGCCCCTGGAGGAGGGGGAGGAGGGGGCTATTTAAAGGACCTGGGAGGATCAGAGTCCAGAGAGAGTGAGCAGTGATCATGGCCACTTCAGAGCTGAGCTGCCAGGTGTCCGAGGAGGACTGTGAGCACCGAGAGGCCTTCTGGGCTGAGTGGAAGGATCTGACACTGTCCACACGGCCTGAGGAGGGGTGAGTCCTGGCCTGCCAGCGTCCTTCCTCCCCTCCCCTAGAGCACCCTCCCTGAGCCTTACTAGGCCAGAGCACAAAGCCCAGGAGAAGCTGGGGGAGGGAGCAAGGAGGGGACCCACTGGGGAGAGTGAAGTCAAGTCGCCCTTCCTGCACCCCAGGTCCTGGCAGCCCCAGGAAGCCCCGTCACCCAGGCCCCGACCTGAGGGCAGCAGCTCCCAGGAGTTCAGAGTCCCCTTGCTCTCTCCTTCCCAGTTGCTCCCTGCATGAGGAGGATGCCCTGCGGCGTGAAACCTACCACCAGCAGGGGCAGTGCCAGGCGCTGGTGCAGCGTTCCCCCTGGCTCGTGATGCGGATGGGCATCCTCGGCCGCGGGCTGCAGGAGTACCAGCTGCCCTACCAGCGGGTGCTGCCGCTGCCCATTTTCACCCCCGCCAAGGTGGGTGCCAAGGAGGAGCGCGAGGAGACCCCCATCCAGCTGCAGGACCTGCTGGCGCTGGAAACAGCCCTGGGTGGCCAGTGTATGGACCGCCAGGACGTGAACGAGATCACCAAGCAGCTGCCCCCCGTGGTGCCTGTCAGCAAGCCCGGTGCCCTTCGTCGCTCCCTGTCTCGCTCCATGTCCCAGGAAGCACAGAGAGGCTGAGAGGGACGGTGACTTGGGCCCCACTGTGCCTGTCCTGGGCTGGGCCCTCCCTGGCTAGGACCATGGAGGGGAGCTGCTGGCCATGGATGCTTTGTAGTTTGCCCAGAGTTGGGGGCTAGGGGAGGAGGGAGCCAGAGGCCAGGATGCCTGGGTCTCCTATGTTCCCAAAGGGAGGGGAGCAAAGACGGTGGGCAATAAGGGTGGAGAGCTGGGGGCCAGCACAGCCGAGTACCCCTAGCCCCAGGAGGAAGGACAAAAGATGCTAGTGAAGGCAAGAGGTCCTTGAGAGGAGTGACCCCAGTCCAGGCTTCAGCTGCAAAGAAGGATGAGGGGAAATGTCAGGGGATCTGGAATGGTCCAGGAAGGAGGCTTGGAGAAGACTGGAGGGAGGGGGACGTGAAGAGGGCAGAGGCTGGGTGGAGCCCCCAACACCCTCTTGTTAGTGCTGCAATAAATGCTCAATCATGTGCCAGAGTTCTGTCTCTTTCCTTCTGGTTATGGGGCCCAGCCATTGGTGTCCCCCCAAGCTCACTTCTGGGAACAGGCCCTGCATCTGAGCTAAATATGGCAGAGCTAGTGGGTCACCCCATGCTTGGGGGTGGGGGGTGTTGTAGGGACAGAGCTGTAAACAGGGTGCTGTCTGTCCAGCCCCCCTTCCTTATCCGGACGCTGCTGTGCAGACCTGGCTTCCATGTCCAGTCCTCTGGCACTGAGCAGTGCCCAGGAGGCCAGTTGGCATCCAAGGTTTGTTTAAATGACCTCATGGAGAATATGGAGGGGGCTGGCACCAGAACTGTCCTTAGCTGTGACTCAGAGTGTGGATAGGGTCAGTGACCCCAAAGCTGACTTCTCTCTCAGTTCTGAATCCAGACAGAATCAATCCTTGGCTGGAGTCAGGTGTTCCACCCTCCCTGCCCTGGGCGCCCAAGGAGGGTTGTTGGGAGTGGGGTGTGTGTATTGGGGGTCAGGTTCCTGCCTGTGACCCCTGCAGCTGTTGTGGTGACTCATATCCCAACCTGGCTGCCTAGCCCAACAAGAAGACACTCTCCTCTTGGGACAAGGTGGGGGGGGGGTGGCACAGAGGCCAGGGGCCCAACTTGGCAGGGGCTGGTAGCCTACCCAGGGCAGGGGGCTCTGGACTTGGCCAGCGGGGTCCCACTCCAGGAAGACCATGAAGATGGCCTCGCAGAATCCACTTCCCATTCGGGGCAATAAGAGGGGAGACCTTGGCATCTTGACAGCCTGGTACCTGGAACGCCAAGCAGTCTGCAGGCCTGCCCTGGCCCTACTCCCCCAGAGGGGGCTGGAGTGTGGGCTGGGATTTGAGAGGGGTCAGAGACTGCAGACCGGCGACATGCCTAATCCTTTGGCGCCCGAAGGCTCGGACTGCGCCCCCTGGTGTCCCCTGGCAGCCTGGAGAATGCGCCGCGCGCCCTCAAACGTCCTCACCTGGGTCCTTCGCCCCCGACGTGGCGGGAATGTCCCGAACGTTCCGTCCTCTGCAGACCCTAGATACACAACTCGGAGCCTGCAGGGCCCGCAGGAGAGGCCCGGTTTTCCGCCCGCTAAATGCATTAGCCCCGCTTGCCTCCCTATCGTTGCTGCCATCGGATGGGCGGGGCTGGAGCTCCGCTCTGGGGCCCCGGGGCGACGGTGGTTGAGGTCAGAACGGACTGTCCTTTCTGGAGTCGGGGCCGGGGAAAGGGGGGAGGGCGGGGGGAGAATGCTGGAGGACAGAGACGAAAGAGAGGCTGGGAGGCGGGGCAGAGAAGAGGATTTGGGGTGACCTTATTAAGGAATGGAGGAAGACACGGTGTCCCGCATATGAGGAGCCTGGCGGGGGTGCTGGGCCCTTGGTGGGCCACGCTGGGAGCTGGGAACTGGGGAAAGGGCTAACTCGAATCGTCGCAAAAGAGAAGGGATGGGATGCCCGGCAAAGGGGGTGAATGGCTGCGGGAGCTGGAGAAGAGCGACGGGAGGAGCTGGGACTGGAGGACGCAGGGGTCTAAGCAGTCTAGGGGTAGGAAGCTGAGCGGCAGGGCAGGTGAGGCAAAGGGTGGAGTGCAGCCGGAGCAACCGTGGAGCAGGGGCGGGGACGGATGTTCCCCCTCTGTGTCTGCTGCTCCGACACTAAAGGAGATGGATGAGGTGAAGGAGATGCAGCGCGCGTGGCCCCGGGCGGCTCATCACTCAGCCGCCGCCCCCGCAGCGGAGGGGTCGGGGCGGGAGTCCGGCCATAGATAAAGGCGAGCGGGGGACAGGGCTGCCGCAGCAGCAGCATGAGCGGGGCAGACCGGAGTCACGCTGCAGGAACGGCCCCCGACCAGGACCCCGGCCGGGCGGCGGTCGCCTCGGCCTACCAGCGCTTCGAGCCCCGCGCCTACCTCCGCAACAACTACGCGCCCCCTCGGGGCGACCTGAGCAGCCCCGACGGCGTCGGGCCTTGGAAGCTGCGCTGCTTGGCCCAGACCTTCGCCACCGGTGAGCGTGGGGAAACTGAGGACAGGAAGTCATGGGGAGCTAAAGGGGCCCCCTCGAGAGCCAGATGGGGATAGGTAGTTAAGAGGTGAAAACAGAAGAGGAAGAGAAGTAATATCGATCACTGTGAGAGGCAGAGGAGGGTGGATGGAGATGGGCGGAGCACTCGAAATTGAGAGGTGAGATGGAGAATGCAGACTGCGGGGAAAGGGAAAGGGGAGAGAGAAACTGCCAGGCACCTGTGATTTCTCACTTAATCCTCGCTGGTAGGTATAGTTTTATAGATATGGAACCTGAGTCTCAGAGATATTAAGTTCTTTTCCCAAGATAAGCCACTCAGTGTTGGAGCCAGGACTCAGACCCTGGTTAGTCTAACTCCGGAGCTAATGCCTTTTTCCAGACAGAGACACATTTCCAGAGAGAAGGAATGGGAGCGGTGGGGAGAAGCAGGTAAGGGAGGCAGCAACAGAGGCTGGGGTCCACGGGCCTAGCAACTGGCAAGCCCGGCACCCCTGCCCTCCGATGCACCTATTCCTCTGCCCCACGCAGGTGAGGTGTCTGGACGCACCCTCATTGACATTGGTTCAGGCCCCACCGTATACCAGCTGCTCAGTGCCTGTGCCCACTTTGAGGACATCACCATGACAGATTTCTTGGAGGTGAATCGCCAAGAGCTGGGGCTCTGGCTGCGAGAAGAGCCGGGGGCCTTCGATTGGAGCGTGTACAGCCAGCATGTATGCCTCATTGAGGGCAAGGGGTAAGGGCTAGGGGATAAAGGTGGGGCAGAAGGTCTCCCATGGAGGCAGCAGAGAACTGAGCATGGGCAGTCCAGAGCCCCAGTCCCGATCCTGCCTTCTGCTCCTCAACAGTGAATCCTATCAGGAGAAGGAGCGCCAGCTGCGAGCCAGGGTGAAGCGGATCCTACCCATTGATGTGCACCAGCACCAGCCCCTGGGCACTGGGAGCCTGGCGCCCCTGCCTGCCGATGCCCTGGTCTCTGCTTTCTGCCTGGAGGCTGTGAGTCCAGACCTTGCCAGCTTCCAGAAGGCCCTGGACCACATCACCACACTTCTGAGGCCTGAGGGGCACCTCCTCCTCATCGGGGCCCTGGAGGAGTCGTGGTACCTGGCTGGCGAGGCCAGGCTAGCGGTGGTGCCAGTGTGTGAGGAGGAGGTGAGGGAGGCCTTGGTGCGTAGCGGCTATGAGGTGCGTGATCTGCGCACCTACATCATGCCTGCCCACCTTCGGACGGGTGTAGATGATGTCAAGGGCATCTTCTTCGCCTGGGCCCAGAAGAAGGTGGGGCTGTGAGGCCCCAGTGTATCCAGTGCTTTCAGCCCTCACCCACCCAGATTCCCTATTATCCAAGGTGGCACCTAATAAAAAGGTGTAAGCTGGTTGGTGTAAGTGGAGTCTGTGGCTCTCCTGGGATGCAGCAAGGGCCCAGAGCTCCCTCCTGTGTTATGGGGGTAGGAGGGCATCAACCCTGGCCTTTTTTACCCCCAGAAGCTTCCATGAAGGCAGGCTCTATACCACTCATTCTTCCCAGACTAAGGAAGGCCAGGGTCAGAGGGAGCTCATTCAGCATCTGCCATGTACCAACACCTGTCAGGTCCATTAGATCCTCACACAGGCAGTAGGTCCTGCCATCTTGTTTGCAGGAGAAGCTCAGGAAGGTTAAGAATGAATAAACAGTAGTTGGAGCCTAGTAGAGCCCAAGAGTGGGGGAGAGGGGGATGGTTAGGAGACACAAGTGGAACTTTTTTGGGGGGGGGGTTACATCTAGGCCAAAGGCCCAGGGAAGTGAGAGAGGAGGACACCAGCTTCCTCCCCTAGCCTCCACCAAAGGCTGGACCTGAGCTCCATTCAACTCTGCTACTGCTCTGAACATGGTCCCTACCATCCCCATTCCCACCAGCCTGGGTAGAGACCTCATCTGCCTGCTGCCTCCAGCCAGCCCCATCTCCTTCCCTCCAGCCCACTCTGCTCACACCAATGGGCCACACAAGGGTAGGTGAGGTTGAGAATTGATTTATTAAGAATTTCCATTGCTACCCTCCTACCTTAAAATAGTTCTTAGTATCAAAAGAGGTTAACACAAGCCACCTAAGTCCCTGAGGTTGAAGTCCTAACACAGCGCCCTTACCCCCAGGGAGGGGCAAGAGGGCAGGGAAAGAGCAAGAATCCAGACTCCCTGCTCCAATCACAGAGACTGCCTTTGGATGGAAAGTTTCTGGAGCTCCACATTCTATCCTTGTGAAGCAGGAATGTGCTATGGCTGCCGGCAACTGGCAGGGGTCACCTTTACCAGGGTGTGGGTACAGCATGGCCCCTGCCTGCCTCCAGGAAGATGGGAAACCCAACCAGGCCACAGGCCTTCTCCCCTCCTCCCTCAGATTACCCCCCTCTCTCCCCCAGGGTCCGGCAGTGTCAAAGGGGCTTAGCAGGCAGGGCACTGGGGTAGGGGTGGCCACCATGTCTAGGCAAGGAGGATCCCCATTTTCCTTCCTCCCTCTGCCTCCCAAGGGGCTGATTCTGGAGGTTGTGCGGGAGCCCTGTGAGGTTTGTAAAGAAAGGAACACATATACACATGCAGCCTGGACACCCTCACTCCCAGCCGCATCTTGGGGACATCCTGGGGACACGGGGCTTTGTGCAGAGTTGGTGCACAATAAACGGTTGTCGACAGTGATTCGATCCCCTCATCCTGCTCAACCTCCCCCCACTGTGTGGCCCTCACACTCACCTGCACTCACACTCAGTCTATGCATACCCCCCTCATCCACACTAACCTGCCTACCCCTCAACACACACACTTTAAAACCACTCTCACACACACACCACTTTCCACACTGCACAAGGCCAATGCTCTCACACACTGCCCGCCCCTCAGCATCCCACACACCCCAGGCCCACGTCCACCATCCTGTCACCTACACTCATGGTCTCCCTTACACACTCACATGCAGGCTTCCAACCACAACAGCAGCACAGGGGCCAGAGGGATCCTGGTCCTGGGCTCTCTGGGGTCCTAGCCCCAAAGGGAGAGTGTGGCGACGCCTCCTAGGGATCTGACAGGAGTAACAGTCTGGGTGAGACTGCTCCCCAATCCCAACAGCTTGGTCCCTCTAGATCCCATGGGGAGAATGAGACCTGCCTGCCTTGAAACTTGGGCAGCCAAAGAGCAAGCATCTAGTGCCACCTAGTGGTGCCCTGGAGGAGGGCACAGAGTAACAGAAGGGGACCTCACTGAATCTCCAAAGGCCTTTGGTGCCTGGTCTCCCAGTGAGACAGAGAGTTCCGGGAACTGCCCAGGCAGTGAGGAGGAAGCTGACAGGGAGGAAAGGCACCTCTCCTCTCGGTGGAGCTAAGAACACAGTTCCACCCTAGTTCAGCTCCAGGGACCACAGGGGTTGCCCATTTTCTAGCCCCAGATGTGATGAGGCCACATCTGAACCAATGCCAAGATCTGTGAGGGCCATGAGGGGGTGAGCAAGGGATGGGTAGGTTACATGATTCTGGGCCCACACCCTTCATGTCCAAGTTCAAAATGCTAAAAGGAAAAAATAAATCGTCTCAAGGAATGGGAGGAGAAGGGAAGCCAGCAGCAGAGGGACAGAATCCCCAAGTGGGCAGACCCACTTCCAGGGCCTTCAGTCCAGCTTGAACTTGGCCTCTGATTCCTTCAGCAGGTAGAGGCTGTCATCTTCCAGAAAGCTGTGGGCCGAGGGAGGAGCCCACTGAGGCACAGCTCTGAGAGCGTTCCCTGGGAGTGGGGCGGGGCGGGGCAGGCAAGCTGGCAGTGGGTGACCTGTGCACAGAGGTCTCTAAGAAGCAGGCAACGAAGGGCACAGAGGAGGTGAGCACGGGGCCAAGGAGCACCCACCTGAAGAAGAGGACGTGAACAGGGATGGTGCTGAAGTGCCAGATGGCGTGGGCGTCCAGGACCCAGAAGAGAGGCGGGAAGTCCAGCAGCTCGAGCAGGGACAGCCCCTGCAGCAGCAGGACCACCACCATGCACTTGCGTGCGTGAGGCAGCCGCCGCTGGTTCCGTAGGCACCAGGCCAGCCACCACACCGCGTTCACCAGGCCTGGGTGCGGGTAGGGGTGGGGAGAGGCTCACTCCCTGGACCACCTTCTCTCCTCCCAAAATCTCCCCTGGCCCCATGCTCTCTGACCCCAGGACCATCCTCAGGCTCTCCTCCCAACCTCCCCACTCCCACCCCAAATTCTTTCCCTTTCCCTCACCCCAAGTGTCCCTCTAGAAGCTTCTTCTCTGGAAACAGCACCAACTCCCACCTCCACCCAAAACCAGCAGCTCTGCAGATGGTCCAACCCCACCCCAGAGCCCCCGTCCCACCTCACCGATAGCCACATTGGCCGCCAGGTTGTAGCCATAGTCAAAGTGGATGAGGCTCAGGTAGGAGACGTGCGCGGTCAGCATGAGCAGCAGGAGGGCCCGGAAGGCACTGGCCACGGCGGGGCACTGCAGCCCCACGGTCCTGTCCACCACCCAGAGCTGCTCAGACGTAGGGTGGCCTGTGCCCACGGCAGCATTCCCCAAAGCATCCCCTCACCCCCAACAGCTGTACAAGGGAGGCACTGCCCCTCTACCCCATCATAACAGGCCAGCCAGGCAGGCCTCCAATCCCCAGGGGGCCTGCGACCAAGTGCTACAGCTCCTTGGCAAGAGCCAGGGCCCCTAGTCCTAGCCGCAGGCTCCCTGTTCAGAACCATCTGGAGGTTGTGTGTGTATGTGTTGAGGGATCTTGAAGAAAGCCCTGGGATAGCCCCCTCCCTCACCAAGGGGAGAGCTGGGTGACCCCTCTCTGCCCCCAGGGCCTGGTTCCTGATTTTTGCCCCATAGCAGCCAAGGCGGGCTCACCTGACACAGCACAGATAGACTGAATGCAGGATGACAGTGGAGGCACAGAAGTAGTCCATTTTCTGAAGACAAGGAGAGCTGGATGAGGGGCCAGTGTGAGGGGAGTAGGAGGTGGACGAGGCTTCACAGAGGGCAGGGCCCAGGGAGGACCCACCAGGGATGGGGGCAGAGACACAGCTGGAGTCTAACACAGGAGTCCAAGGCCTGTGGCCAGTAGGGACACGTCTCATTTTTTTCTGTCAGTTGCTGTTTCACACCTGAATAGAACACACTGAACCTGGTATTCACATTACACAATTTTTTAAAAATGTGCTCAGCAGCAAGGCTTTCCGGGTATTAGTATATGGTGCCTGCCAGACTCCAGAACATTAAGAGCACACTGCAGAATTCAGGGTGCAGTCCGGAGTTCAGCAGCTGTAGGCTCAAGCCTGGATTGCACCTTTTGCTGGCTGGTGATCCTGGGCAAGTGACTTCACCTGTCCAAGGCTCGGCTGTCCCATCAGTTAAGAAGAGCCAATAATCACTCCTGCTTCACAAGGGTCAAGGGAGGCTCAAGTGCGCTAAGAGGTTTAAAATGCCCAGCACAGAGCGAGTGCTCTGTGACTCGAGTCAGTACAAGAAGTAAGGGCCGGCTCTGCCCCATCTCTCTTGGCTCCTCTGTGACCGTCCACAGTAGGAGATGGAGTAGGGGGGCGCTCACCTCTGTGAGGTCGGTGTCCCTGGTGTGGAAGACTGTGGACCAGAACCAGGCATTGAGGGAGACCTGAGGAGGGAGGCGGCTGGTGAGCTCAGCGCCCCAAGGTGGAAAGGGTCCCCACACTCCCCCACACCCTCCCCACTGGAGGGCTCACATTCATTCCACTACCCAGCTGGGAAACATGCCTCCCCTGGGGCCCTGGAGCCCACTGCCTGAGCAAATACTTGCCCCTCCACCTGCGCCCAGCTCGCTTCCCACTACCCTGAACCCCCAAGGCCATGGGGGCCTCGGCCTCTGCAAGTTCCACAGGTTCCGGCCTGGCCTGGGAGCCAGTTCCAGCAGAGCCAAGTTCCCTGGTTACTCAATGGCTAAGACAACAGCCCCTGGGGAGCCTCACCTCCTCCCCCAACTGGCAGGTGACGACAGCCCCAGCACGGCCAGGGGAGCCGGTGACCTCAGCCTCTGGGGGCGGGAATGAGGTGGGTGGGGTGGAGGGGCTTGAGCCAGCTTGGGGTGTGTCCGCAAGCAAGCGAGGGAGGGAGATCCAGCAGATCCCACTGGGGCCAAGTCTCTGAGGAGAAGCCTGGCCAACTGAGCCCAGCTTCCTCCTGGCTGGGCCTGCTTAACCTGCCAGGCCAGAGGCTGCCACTCCGAGCTCTGGGAGGAACAGAGGAGCAGGGCTGGAGGAGCTGTGGCGGGCAAGGGCCCAAGGGAATGTTTGAGGCCTTTTTTCTGGAAATTCACTGCAAGGAGAGAGTACAAATCATTTCAAATGAGCCCCAGCACTTTTTTTCCGTAGACTGTTATATCCATGGCAGAGGCCCGAGTTACTGAAAGAAGGGTGGGCTGGGGTGGAGATACATACTCTGGGCTGGGTGGAAGGGCTGGGAAACCAGTGACAAAGTGTCAAAGGAAGAAAGAGCCAAGGTCTGGCCTGGAATGCCCTGGAGGTAAGGAGGGATGCACTAGGGTGGGACAGGCCCCAGTTGTAAGGGCCAGGAGCCCCTCGCTTGGGTCCAGTATACCAGGGAAACTGGCCAGGCAGGGGACAGGGGGAGCGGTGTAAAAAGCTGCTCTCCAGCTGGTGTGCGGCAGGAAGGTCAGACGGTAGGATAAGTTCCCTAAAGCAGGCTCAAAGGGGCTGGTGAGGAAATGGGAAGAGTGGCGGGTGGAGGCCAGCAGGGCTCTACTGCAAAGCCTGTCAGCCCTGGAAGTCTCTGGAGGCTCACGTAGCCTGGTGTCGGCCTGTCTGGCCTGTGTCCCGGCCTGAGTCTCGCTGCTTATGCTCCTCATGACCTGGGCAAAAGCCCTGCCCTTCTAGGCCCGAGTTTCCCCCTGGGACAAATCAGGGGCTGGTAAAAATGCTCTTTCCTGCCCTGATGTCAAGTAATTAGTCTAGGTCAGGCTGCTTCCTTCTTTGAGGAAGCCATCTCGTCCCATCCCTGGTGCTACCCCTTCCCCAGACAGTAATGGACACGTGGTTTGAAGGCTGGAAAACCGGACAGAACGGAGCAGAATCTGTGATGCTCAGGGTCAGTGTGGGGAGAGAAGCAGGTTGGGGGCTGGAGACAGGGCCCAGGTGATCACATGTTCCTAGGCCGGCCAGGAACAGGGACATCCTTGGAGAGGAGAGTGGCTCTGGAGCAAATGTGAAAGGCAGATGAGGGGAAGGCAGCAGGGCATGGCAGCCAGCCAGGCCTCCTTGTCACCCATGGCAGGCAGGGGGAGGTGACAAGAGGACTGAGCTAAGTGGTGGCTGGTGGCGGGGCGTGGGGGGGTGCACAGGGCCAGGGCTTAGCTCTGTGGGACAGGGGTGGAGGCTCTCAGTCCCTGTCCAACTGCCTCCCCGGGGTGCCTTCCACTTACACAGACCCACCTGAAGCCTGGACTCTGCACCCTTGAAAAGTCCCCTCTCCCCTGGGGACTGTCCCATTATGGGGGGGGGTCCTCTTCTGACCCTTTCCTCAGACTTGGGAGATAGTGTCATTAACAATGCAGGCCCTAGGGCCAGCCTGCCAGGGTTCAAACCCTGGCTCTGCATTTTCTGTGTGTCCTTGGGCAAGTTATTTAGCCTTGCTGTGCCTCAGTTTTCTCATCTGTAAAATGGGAATAATAATAGTGTTGATAAAGTTTTAGTGAGCAATACAAGTACAGTGTATAGCACAGTGCCCAGGATGGGGTTAAACATTAGGCATTTCTTCTCCCCACCCTTTTGACTGGCATGAGGCCCTTACACCACTTCACAGACCAGAAGCCAAGCCTGCCTCCCATTCTCCCTACTGGCCAGGGACATCTGGGCAGAGAAAGGGTGGTCTCCCACAGCTGCCCAGACCCATCCCACAGTTCCAGGCTGGGGGCAGGATGTCCGGAGCCTCAGTAATGAGATGGACTCTGGGTTCAAGTTCTGCCTCAGCCCCTAAATAGCCGTGTGATCTTGAGCAAGTAACAACTTCTCTGAGCCTCATCTACCTCACCTACAAAACGGGGTTAACAGTAGCACCCACTGCGGAAGAGAGTTGTGAGGATGATGGCTGTCAAATGCCAGGCACAGGAAGTGGTTAATGTTACTGCGGCCTGGCACACAGTAGATGGCCCATAAAGGCCAGTTTCTTTCATCATGTCCAGGGACTGACCCCCACCACTTCCCTTCACCTGACCACCCCCTCTCTCTTCCTCAAGGGTCACAATGTCGCAGGGCAAACCTTGGGGTCCCAGAGTCTCTTGATCCCAAAATGCAGATGCCTTGGCTGTAGGAAGAGCCCCCTCCTCCCTGCCCCTGAGCCACTCTCCCACCAGGATGCCCTGCAGAGATACAACTTCTCTTCACTCAGAGTTTGTAACCAAGACTCCAGCGAAGGGACAGAGGGACATGGATGTGGAAGGAAAGGAAAGCCCAAGTGTACAGTGGCTCCCGGACTCCACAGCCAAGCCTGAGTAGAATGGGGGGGCCGAGGGGTAAATGGCCAATCAGACGGGCCAAGAGGGTGATGGGCGCCAAGAACTTGGCGTAAACACTGAGGAAAGGGGGAGGCCAGAGGCAGGGTGCCAACGAGAGTGGAAATGGAAGGGGACAAGGAAGGCTGGGTGGAGGGAGGGCAGGAGGCTGTTTCAGTCTGTTGGAAAATAAGAAAACTGAGACAAAAATATCACAGCCGTGAAACTGGTTGGATGCCAAGTGAGCCAGATCTGTCAGGAATTCGACCCCAGTGCTAAGCCCCAGTGCTCGGGGCTGTCATTGACACCGCCGCGGTGGGGACAAGTGGGTCTTTAAATAGCTCGGTGTCTCAGAAGTGGGGGAGGCAGAATGTTAAATATGATGCCTGTTGCCATCCTGGGCCCCCCCAGAGGCCACGGTGTCTCACCCCTGCCTCAGGCAAGGCAAGCCTGCCCTGGTTCACTCCTGAGAGAGAAGAGGGGAAGAAGTGGATGGAGATGGGAGGAGAGCTTTCTCCAGCAACAAAAAAGATTCCTTGACTTCTTGCCATTGCTTGTTCCATGACTCTTGTCTGACCTTAGGGAAGTCCTTCTTGAAGTCTAGCTATCATTCTGCTGTAGCCTTAATCTATCTCTTCTCATAGTTTCCTCAGCAGAGGTAGGGTACACTTAGTCCCCACCTCCATAAATCATCCTGTAGAGACAGTTTGGGCCTTCCTGGCACCCTCACCCTCACCCTGAAGACCTTTCCTTACTGGATAAAGAGGCAGAGAACTGGTTGGCCTCTGAGCTTTGGCAGAGAGCAGGGGCCCCCAGTTCCCTGAGGTCTGGTGGACAGAGTTTTGGTGGGCTCCTCCAAAGCCTGGCTGCCACCCAGCCCAAGTTCAGGTCTAAATATCAAGGCAGGGCTTGACTTTTTGTGCCAAAGCTTTATGAGCTCTGCTAATTCCTGGAGAAAAAGACTGAGACCCACCCCTCCTCCCCAAGATCTAACCTAGAGCAGATTAGGGGGGCATCTCACCTGACCCCAACAGAAATCAGGAGCCCCACTTGCTCCAGAAAACCTAGCCCAGGACTAAGTCTGCTGCCACACCCTCCACACAGCTCAGGATCCTTCCTGCTTACAAACACACACAGGACAAAAGAGCAAGAGTAAAATGCAAATTGGATCATCAAAGGGAGTGTGGGCACTGAGACTCTGTCCCTCAAGGGCCTACTGGGGGCATGAGGGGTCCCATGTCCCAGGACACCACATCCTGTAGTAGGTACCCTAAGACACAGGCCCCATCGATCTGTCCTCCCCACACCTAGTATCTCTTGCTCTGTTCCTAAGGGTACTTGGTCACCCTGGACTGCAAGGTACACCTGGAAGATGTGATCCTCACCAAGAAGGAAGCTGAGTGGCAGATGCCAGTGAGATGAAAGACCCAAGAATCAGGGAGATCAAGACGAGAGTTGGGAAGTGACCGGTGGGCGCTGGCACATGTCATGAAGACAAAGGCTGGGAGCCTTTGAAGTCCCCTCAGACCAGCGCCTCTACCCAAGGAGGCTCTGAGTTATGTTCAGAGGGTTCAGGCAGGGCTGTTCTGTGCTCTCTGACAGGGGCAGGGGTGAAGGGGTGGTGCAGGCAGGGGTCCAGCAAGCAGTGTCCCTGGAAGAATGCCGAGGGAAAGGGGACAGGTGTGCTCTCCTCAGTTTCCCTGCCCTTCCTGCCTTCTTGGCCAGGACCAAACGCCCTTCTCTGCGAAGTCTGAACAGGAAGTAACGGCTCCATCCCACTCATGTCCGTGACAGGGTGTGCTGATGCTAGGCCCAGCCCACAAAGAGTCCCTGTCCCTCAGCCTGGCACCCAGAGCCCTCTCTGGGCCATGGTTTACCTCCCCCTACTCCCCTTCACACAGCCATGCTGTGGCCAGGCCGACCTTCCCAAGGATGCCTGTCCATGTCCCCCACTGTCTAACTTCTGTCCCTTTGCTTGGGCTGTGCCCCCAGCCTGGAATGCCGGAATGCAACCTTGTCTCCCCCGACCTGTATATGTCTAAGCCTTACCAGGCCTGCACCTCCCAGATAAAGCCTCTCCTCCACCTTGGGCTTCCCTGAAAATGTCTCCCCTCGCAGGATGTGGTCTCCCCACCTCAGCTTCCAAGGCTCTCTCCCTGAGTCCTCCTCGCCTCTGCCTCCATCCTGCCTCCCAGACTGGCTGGACCTACACCACCCACTTGGCTTAGCTCCTGGGCGCAGGGGCTCCAGCTTCCACAAGTGCTACCCGCTGTCTCTACCCACAGTAGATGCTCAGTCATCATCTATCGCAGTACATGGAGACAGCCCAGAGAGGGCCTAGGTGCTCAGGCCCCGGATCCAGACAGCCCTGGAGGCCAACCTGTCTCCACTATCCACTACCTTGTTAGCTGTTCACTGGGGGCAAGTTTTCCCGCTCTGAGCCTTCCGCAGAGCTCACAGTAGTATTATGAGGATTCAGTGAAAAAACATTTGTACAGAACTTAAGACAATGCCCATCACATGATCGGTGTTCCATAATTGATAAAAATTATTTTTTACTGTTTGTTGAGTGGAAAGTATTAAGGAGGATCCACATTCCCCAGAGGCTTAACAGCTTCCTTCCTGCCCTTCTTCTGATCCCCATCTCTCAAGTCTGAGGTTTGGCAGGGACTTCTCTGCACCCCGACACTATCAGTTTCCCCAAGGTCCTCAGAGACCCCAGGGTTGTCAGATCTAGGCCTTGGGTCTTATTTGATTGAAGCAGAATTCAGGAGAATGGCCTACTCTCTCCTTCCTGTCCTTGTCCCAGGGCCCCCAGCCACATGGTAACCTTGTTTTCCACCCACCCTCTGGCCACTGCTTCTGGCTCATCCCCTTCTATTCAGCCACTGAGTTTGGGGGATCCTCAGGGCTCCGTCCTAGACCTCTCCTCACCAAGTTCCCCCTTGGTGATCGCAGCCACACTCACAGCTTCTATCACTGTCTCATAAGCAGAAGCAGCATGGGGGGGCATCCTTGACTCTCTCTTCTCATCTTAGGTTATCAGCACAGCCAAGATGGTAAGAGTGTAGACTCTGGAGCCAGATGTCTGGATTCAAACCCTGGCTCCTAGGGCAGGTTACTTAACCTCTCCAGTCCTTAGTTTCCTCATCTGTAAACTGAGGATAATAATACTACCTACCTCATAAGCTCATTATGGGATTAACAAGGTTAATATTTATAAAAATGCTTAGAATGGTGCCTGGCAAGAGCTATGTACGTGTCTGTTAAAAAAATACATTAAAAAAAGTTAATGTCACCTCCAAAGCATAGCTCAAACACATTCCTCTTTAATACCCCCTTCCCTACACCAGTGCCTCCTCTCTAGTCTAGCTACTGTGCCTTATGTTAAAACTACCAACTAGCCCCTTCATCCACGCCTGCCCCTCCAATCTGTTCCCTACAAAGCAGCCAGAATGGCAAGTCTATTCATGAAGCCCATTCTCTCCAACCCTCCTTGCTTCCTGATGCTTTGAGAGTCGGGATCTAAAGTGTTCATGTGCCCCCCAGGCTACCCACTGCCCACCTGCCCACCTACCTCACCCCCCCACCCCACTTCCAGGCTTCCTGCATGGTAGGCCTCCTGGTCTTTCAGGTCCTCATATAACCTACACTCCTGCCAGTGAGCATTCTGAGTCTTCTGTGTACACAATTCCCAATTTCCCCGGATTCACCTAGTTAACATTCGCTCATCATTCTGATTTGAGTTCACATACACCTTCCTCACAGAAGCCTTCCCAGGGCCGCCCTGTACTAGTCTAGACCCCATCACACAGCCTCCAGCACCTATCCATCCTCCACTGCACTGGTTCTTAGTTGAAGTTTTACATTCAATTGTGTGCTTATGTGGGCAGCTGCTCACCTGAGCCTGCCCGCTCTCCCCTAAGAGTGTACTATCCATCCTTTAATAAATCCTCACTTTACCTTTTTAACCTCTAAGTCTTGTCTCTGAATTCTTTCTGGGACAGGACAAAAACCTGGAACACCAGTTGCACCTATCGGCGACATCTTTGGCGAGCTGCAACCAGGAGATTGCAGATCTGAATTAAGACTCACACTAAAAGGACTAACCCTGAGTCTCTGCGGAAGTTCCTGGCTGATTCTCATGCAAAGGCAGCAGTAACAGAATCTATAAAGACTGCAGCACATGTGGATGAAGTCATTCTGCTTTTGAAAAAAATGATTCCTCATCACCAGACTGTTGCCATCCTGATGTCCATGTAATGTGGCAACAGTTTGCTCCTGAATCAGAGAATTTAAAGCAGAGGCCCCAGACTCGTGAATACTTGCAGCTGGACTTCATTCAGCGGCCATCTGGCGTGGGTTATCAGGTTATCAATATGTTCTTGTTATTGTGTGCGTGTGTTTTGAAGGGGTGGAAGCCTTCCCTTACCACACAGCTGATGACCTCATGGTGGCCAAGAAACTGTTAGAAAATGTTTCCCACGTGGGATACACCTTCCACAATCTCTTGTGATTGAGGCACCCAGTTCACTGGGCAAATCACATGGACCTTAACAAAACCCCTGCATATTTCGTGGAGTTGTCACTGTCACTCTCCGTCATCAGGCAAGGTCAAAAGAACTAATGGAAAAACTGGGTTCGTACAGAACAAGAATAATATGGGACTGAATGAACTGAAGAGGATGATTACAATTTTTATGGATCTGTGTTTAAAATAAGGCTGGTTCTTTAATGTTTTTCCAGGTTGAAAGAAATCTTTTCTCTTAAGGCATCAACAATTTGGTAAAGTGTATCTTTGTAACAAAGGTAGAAGCATTTCTCCTCTTTCTTCCTACTTGATGGCTCAAAGGTTCTGAAACTCTTATTAAATAATCTTGCTTTTTCATAAAAAAAAAATTGTGTGCTTATGTGATTAGTATTAGAGGCCAGGAATCCATCTGTTTTGATATACTTTTGGATCTCTAGCACCCAACAGAGTGCCTGACACATAGTAGGTGCTCAATACAGGAACGAATGGCTGCTTTGATGGCAGGAAGGTGAGTGAGTGGGCTTATGGTGGTAGCTCTGATCTAGAGACATCCATTGAACCTTACTCTCACACCCTCCCCAAGGTTTCTGCAGTTCATAACTGTACCACATTCCATGCTTCTCACACAATTCCAGGCCCTGGATGCTAGCTCTTCTGACCAGTCACTCTGCGAAGCTCAGAGCCCTCTCTGGATACTCAGGTGGAACATATTTTGGCTTCTCCAGGGATGGTCTAAGACCAGGCTGAGCTCTAGACGGAGTGCTATGGCTGCCCCCAGGCCTCAGCTGGTGTTGATAGTGCTTCAAACCCTCCAGGGGGGTCCTTGGAAAGACCTGTAGTCCCAGCATGCTCCCTACCACCCATCTCCCTTCTGGGTTTGTAAATTGCCCGACTGGATGTTTTAGTGGCTTCCTGCTTCAGGACAAGAACAGTATTTCTTTCCTCTCTTCCTCCCTCTCAAACAGCCTGACTTAGGACTTTGCTAGAAAGGGAAGGTCTGATTTGGCACCTTCCCTGTTTCTCCCCAGGCTTGACCACCCCATAGCTGCAACTTTAGCCCTGCAAAACAGAAGGGAAGCTAGGTGGGTGGGAATGGGGATCTAAGAGTTCCTCCTTCCTAGATGAGGGTGCAGAGCAGGAATCCTGCAGGTTACCTACCCAAGCGAAGGCCACGCAGGTGGGGTACATAGGGGAGGAGGCTGGCACGGAGGCGCGGTAGCGACAGAGCATCACCAGGCTAGCCAGGCCATTGAGGAAAGAGGCCACAGCAGAAGCTGGCTCTTGGAAGCACAGGAACCGGGAGAAGGGCCACTGAAAAAGGAGCACATGGAGGAGGCCTGAGGGGCAAGCACCCCCAGCTGGTCCAACCCACCTCTTCTTGACCTGCTGCATCAACAGGTCCCCAGCTGTTTCCTCAGCTCTGGACCTCAAAGTCTCAGGTGTAGTCCCTCTTCAGGTCAATGAGCTCCCCTCAGTCCCTGGCAGAGGGTCATCCTTCTATCCTGGCCAGCACTCACAGCACTGGGAGGACCAGGTGGGCCAGTGTAGATGGCTCAGCATGGCCTAATGGAAAGAGCACAGACCTGCCATCTAGAAGACACAAGTCCTAATCCTCCCTCTACCACTGAGCCTCAGCTTACTCTGTGACAAACTGGAAAGAATAATCCAATAATCATATTGGATCAAAAAGCATCAGCAAGCTGTGCCTCACTGGGCAATCTGAGGGGTTATTATTCTTTTAATCCAGACTCTTACTGAAGAAACAACAGAGAGTATGCTATGGGAGGCAGGAAATTTGTCCTTGTAGCAAGGTGGGCATCTCAACCACCCTAAGAAACCCAGTACCACTCCCTGAGGAGACCCCAAAGCCTCCCAGATCTTGTTACCTCAAATCCAAAAGCAGGACACAGTGGTCCCATCTGATTACATGACAACCAGCATATTTTGAGAAGAACAGGTACCTGCCCTAAACACACACTCATCACCCCACACCTCAGCCTGCTTGGACAGTGCGGTCCAAAAAACCTACCTTGACCCTCCAACTTACCTTGCCGTGGAACTGAGGCACTTCGTGACCTTCCTGGAGGTAGAGGCCAACAGTAACCCACATACACTCATACTTACAGTCGTCCCGACAGGTCCAGCCTGAAACAGATAAATATGGCCTGGTAAACTCCCCAGCATGGGGATGCATGGAGAGAGCTGGAATGGGGCCCAAGCTCCAACACAGGCCAAAAAGGCTTGCAGGTTGGAAGAGAACCAGAAGAAATCTGAAAATGCTGGCTTCCTGCTTGAGTGGATGAGAGATGGTGTGACATATCCAAAAGGGAAAGATGTATGTATGCGTGTGTGTGTGTGTGTGTGTGTGTACGTTGGTTTGGGGAGCTGGGGCAGGCAGTGAGCAAACAGAGATGTTCCTTCCCTTCTCCTTTCACCCAAGATGGGGATTTTGGCATCTGATGGACTCATCTGTGGACACCTGGATTTATGTTTGCCCTTCTTGAGCACAAGATTTGTGCTCACTGATCGTGAGAAACTCTTGTTGTCTTACCCTCCTCCTATGAAAATGAAGCCCAGGTTTTTCAGTCTGACTTTTGAGGCCCCATATTGCCTTTTTAACTTTATTTCCCACTATTCCTTTCCATGCACTCTGCTCCCTGAGTAAGCCAAGCTGCTGGATATTCCCACATCTGTCCAGGGCCTCCACCCTCTGTTCCCTCTGTCTGGAATGTAAAGGGATAATAAAGGGAACACACTTATAGTCAAACAGGCCAGAACTCAAAACTCCACTTTACCACTTATTGCCTGTGTGACTTTGGGCAGGGTGCTTAACCTCTCTGAGTCTTCCCATCTGTAAAATCAGGTTAAGAGAATCTACCTCAAAGTGTTGTTGTGAAAATTAATTGACTATTTTGACACCCATCACACAGTAAGTGCCCACTATGGCCACAGGTCTAAATTTAATGTATCATCCAGAAGCCCAGTGTTCGAAGATAATTGCTGTCCCCACCTCTATAATATAGCCAGAAACGATTCCTTCCTCCCTTAATGCTTCTATTGCTTAAGCTAAGAGTCTCTTAGGCTCAAACCATCCCCTGCCTTCCACTTGAGAAGGCTAATATCCCCATGGGGACTGTGAGTCTCTAAGGGCAGGAATCTGGTCTGATTTCAGTGTCATTCCAGGGCTTTGTACCCAGGAAGTAGTAAATGCCCATTTGACTGAACAAGTAAAAAATAAATGAAGGCTCCTGGCTGACGAGCCTCTCATCACCCAGGGGCTCCACTCACTTGCCCTCATAATGGACCTGGAGGAAGAAACTAAGGTACTGCTAGCAGAGGGGCACTGGGGAGAGCAATGGGCGGGGCCAAGACCAGTGGGCGGGGCCTGCCGCGGGGTGGAGCTTACCTGCTAGACTCATGTAGATTGGCTGGTGGGAGCGGAAGTGCTTCAGTGCGTTCCCGGAGCAGTTCCGCTCGTCGCACCCGAGCACGCAGTCGCGGTACACGGGCTCGCGGTCGCCCTGGGAGCCGCTTGCTAACGCGGCTGCACCAGCTAGCAGCACCAGCCTCGCCGTCCGCCCGGCCATCCCTTCACCCCGGTCCTCCTCCGGCGGAGGAACGTAGGAGCCTTCACTTCCGGAGTAACCGGAAATGCCTTGTGCTCTTTCGTCTACTCCCCGCTGACGTCCTCCCGAGTTTAAATTAAAGTTCCCGGATTTCTGTGGGCGCCGGCCCCGCCCCTCGCCTTACTATTGTCTCCGCGTAACAGGCGAAGGGGTTAGGGAGAGGGGGACGCCAGGTGGGTTAAGAAGCAAAATAAAGTGGTCTTTTATGAACAGCCGTCTTCTTTCTTCCCCAGGGTCTATTTGAGATAGGGCTATTTTTCTGTCCCCAGCCCTGTCAGATTTCCACTTCCTAATGTATTAAGAACTGTCCCTTTTTCTCCATCTTCACTGGCACCATCCCCCTGGTTAAAGACATAATTATTTGTCGCCGAGGCAGCCGCAGTAGGCTATTAACACACCCTGCATCTACTTATACCCCCTCCACTCCGCGCTCTATTTCCAAAAATTCTAATTTGACCATGTCATTTTCGTTCTTAAAATTCTTTACTGGCTCCTACTTGCCTCAGGATAAAATCATAACTCCACAAGCATGAGCTGGCGCATTGGTCTCCCTCACTCCTCTGCCTCAGACCCACCTCAAGGAGCTATGTCTCTCAAGCCCCCTCTCTTTGCCTCGTCTGCTTCACTCTTACTCTCACTCCTGCTGATTCTCCTAGTCTCAACTTAAACACTACTTCTGAGGGTGATACAACATACAGTAGTCTGTTTTCCCAGGGAGGGTGGGGACGTCCGCTGTCTTGTTTACCATTCTATTACCAGCACTAGCACAGAATTACAGAATTTGGCTCACGGTAGGCGCTAGGAACATGTTGGTTTTGGGAGGTCTTTTCTTTTTGTTTGTTTAAGTGAATGAACAACGTAATTCAGCGTTAAGATTTTGGGTGCCAAACCAGAGCTGTCAGATCACCAGCGTAATTCAGACCACCTGAGATAGCAGAGGTGTAGTATTTTAAGGAAAATTAAGAGGAAGACCGTTGGGAATAGGAGGATACTAGCTTTAGTATCACCTCTCCTCCCCACACTACCACCAGCGCGCGTGCACACACACACACACACACACACACACACACACACACACACATCCATCTCATTGAAACATTGACACCTCGTAGCCAGATGCATAATTTGTGTGTGTGTGTAGGTTAATGACTGCCTTTCCTCTGCCCTACTCTCTTCATTCCTGGTCAACTTTTCCTTTTTATCTCGAGAATTGGAATGAGCTGGAAGTTAAATTGGATCCTATTCATTCACTCGTTCAGCAAACATTTCCTGAGCCCTTAGCCTTAGCACCAAGCTAGGCAAGGCACGGCTCCAGGGAGCACCATTCATATTGTATTTTCTGTGAATGGCGCTCAGGGGAGCCCCATTCACATTGTATTTTCTGTGAATGGTGACTTTTCTAATTAAATATAACATGAATAGTGTCCCCTGGAGTTGAGCACCCAGTTGATAATTGATTGGGAAGCTGAAATGAACAAAACAACAACTCAGCCCTCCAGGAGCTGACCGGAAACAACTGAGTGCTAATATGAACTTTGCACCTGATAGATCAGTCCTTTTATAATACATTATTTTATTTTGTCCTTACTATAATGCTGGGATTAATCTTTTTATCAGGATCCCCATATAAAGATGAGGAAATTTATGACTAAAGAAGATGAAATACTGAAAAAGCAGGGCTTCTTTTGAGAGAACTCTGAGGTAGAGATAGGGCTCTTTTAAAAATTTTAAGGTTCCAATTTTGGAAGCCTCATCCTATATTATATCAAACATACTAAAATGTGGCAGCACCCATATTAAGTAAAATCTATAACAGTATATAGTTGAATTGAGTTGCTGTAAATAGTTGACATATTGTTACATTTTGTACACATTTAATAAAATTTTTTTTGTAGTTTTGTTATATTTTGGAGCTAACATTGAAAATTTGTTCAGGTCTCAGACATTTCATAGGTCCTTGAAAACTCATGGCTACACACCTGATGGAGAACACAGTCCTAGATTAAAGGTAGAGAGGGCAGTGGAGACATCTGTCATGTTGTCCTAGCAGGAGATGAGGTGTGGTTTCTCTGGGACATCTCTTGAGGGTTTTTCCTGCCAGAACAGCCCTACACAATTACCAGGCTTCTCTGAGTGCCCACTTTCAGCCCAGAGATTTCCCCCCTTCCTTCCCCACGGAGCCCCCTCAGCTTAATCTGCTTCCTAACTTGCATTTGGTTTCCTATGTGAGTCATAGGCTGCAAAGCCTTTGATTCATTCCTTCAATTCAGTTTTATTGAGCCCTACTGGGTGTCAGTCACTGCACTAGGGAAAAGAAGAGATGAATCAGAAATTGTTCCCAGTCCAGGGAAGAGAAAGACAAAGCAAATAGTACAGTGTGCTGAGGGCTCATGAGCAAATTGGCCATATTCTTAGAACAAAAACTGAGAGATATTCTACAATGAGGTTTTCTTATTCATCAACAATTTTTTGCAGTTACCATATGCAGGTGTCGGGGGACAGAATGATGAATAAGGTACTGTCCTCAAGATCAGAGGAAGGAGACAGGCAATAAATGAGTATCAAACAAAAGACGAAAATAATTTTACTGTTAATGTAAGGTCACATTAGTATGACCACTATGTAGGATAAATTAGCACCATCAGACTGTAAAATATACATACCCTTTAATCCAGTAATTTGCATAGATCCTCTAACCAGGAATTTCTCTCCTAGGTATATTAATATTAGTTTTGTGATTTTATTAGGTGTTTTTTTGTTTGTTTGTTTTTGTTTTTGTTTTTTTGGTGGAGGAGGGGGACAGGTAATTAGATTTATCTATTTATTTAATTTATTTTTTAAATAGAGTTCCTGGGGATTGAACCCAGAAACTCATGTATGCTAAGCATGCACTCTACTACTGAGTGCATGCTTCTACCTTCCCCCCTCTCCTAAGTATACCTACACAATCTTGAGGTATACCTACACAAGTGCAAAAATGGGATGAGTACAAAGCTATTCATGGCAGCACTGGTGATTATTTTCAATAACAACAACAACAAAAAAGGAAACAACTAAACATCCAGCAATAGGGAATGAATTGCATGAATTGAGGGAGCTCCTTATAATTACAATAGAATGCTGAACAGAAGTTAGTAAGAATGGGGCAGATTTATAATGTACTGACATGGAAAAACCTGCATGGTATTTTTGGTAAGTATAAAAATCAAGATATAGAACAGTATACTTGTGTGTCTGTACACTTCACCTCATGTGAGAAAAAATAAGAGCATATATTATATATTTTCTTTTTTTAGAAAATATATCTAAAAGATATATAAGAAAGTGGAAATAGTTGTTGCCTCTAGGGAGAAGTGGAACTGTGTGACAGGAAAGCAAGAAACAATTTTTATTGTACTTTTAGAACTTTTTGCTGTCTGTATATGCCATCAGTTAAAAACAAAGGGAAAATGCAGAAAGGACAATTTCATGTAGTCACAAGGGTCGAGTTATATCTAGGGAGGGAGGGCAGGGGAATGGGGAGGGAGGGGGAGGCTACTTTGGACTGGATGGTTAGAGGTCTTTTGGAGAAAGTGACATTTGGGCTGAAACCCGCATGACTAGAAGGAACCAGCCCTGCTGACACCTGGGGGCAGATTGTTCTAAGTTGAGGGAACAGTCAGCGCAAAGGCCCTAAGGCAGGGACAAGCTTGACATCTTTGAAGACAGAAAAGAAGCCTGTGTGGCTGGAAGGCTGTGAGATTGAAGTGAAGGCCAGAGACCAGGTTCTATCTGGTCTCAGGTCATGGTGAAGTGTTTAGGCAATGGGAAGCAACTGGCAGGTGTTTCAGCACTGGAGGGAATGAAATGATCAGATTTATGTTTAAAAAACTGACTGGTTATTGTGGGGGGAAACGCGGGATTGAAAGGGGGCAAGAGCAGCAGAGGGAAGATGAAAGGCTAGTGCTTTGGCCTCGAGAAGAACTGACAGAGGCTTACATTAGCTGGCGCTAGAGGTGGGGAAAGCTGAGATGTATTGGAAGAGGAATTGCTGGATCTTAAAGATGATTGGATGGAAAGAGAGGCATCAGCAATGTTGGTCCAGTGAATGAAATCATCTGAAACTGGAATTGTCCCTCCAGATCAGGACTTCGTGATTGCCATAGTTTTATGCTTCTGGAAGCTTCCTAGTCTCTTCTCCAACCAAAAGCCATAGGCAAGAGTTTCCTAGTCATCTGTATCTACAGCAGCAAGTGAGGTGAGCTTGGGATCCTGAACGTTTGAATGGAGCAGGAAGACTGAGTGCTTGTGAAACAAAGAATCTGCTAAAGAGATGACTCAGTGGGGCTTTCAAGGGACAAGTGTAGGGGTTGAAAGGGTTGCCACCCCCCGCACCAAATCCTAAAACACTGTGACCAGGAACCATTCGGTCCAAATCTCTCATATCTCAGACGGCAAAGTGAAGCCTTATTCAAGGCCACACAGCCCAGATACTGCCCATGGGAAGACCCCCTACATGGTAAGCAATCAGTACAAACACAGGGACAGCACAGGACATGGGATCACAGACAGCTGTGTGTGCACAGGCCAAGGTGGAAGTCACAGGTACTTCATGCACATGATTAAAGCCAGGTGAGGCCAAGAGCACAAGAGTGTTTTTTGTCTTGGCAAAGTAGCCTAGGGAGGGGGGAAGGCAAACTCACCAGGCTTTGGGCCTGCAATCCTGAGATGGGGGTGAGGGACTGAGGGAGGCCAGCAGTGTGCCCAGGGTCTGCTGTGTCAGTTTGGGCTCTGCTCCTTTGCTACCCTGGGGACCCAACAGGGGCTAACCCTGGGCCCGGAGAGTGGCCTCCCAGGGGTTAGGTTGCAAGCATTCTGAAAAGGCCACCTTAACAAAGGACAGTTTTTCTTATCAGAAGCTTCAAGATTATTACTCTCCTGTGGCCCCAGAGAGGCCTTGTGCCTACTCTCAGGGGAATCCTTCCAACTAATTCACACAGGCAATTTCCCAGCAAACCATGCCCTTGTGGGGTAGGCCCCAGTTTGT